GAACTGATACTTTCTCCAAGCCAACACCTACATTCGACAGCTTCAACGTTTCAAGGTGTGGCCAAGTTGACAGATCTATCTGACTTGGGCAGTATCGTTCTGGTACATTCAAGTCGTCGACTACTAGCGCGCGGCGTACTTGAAGGCTTGGGCCCTCTTGGGTGGTTGAAGTAACAGCAAAACTGACATTGGGTAGAACACATTCATGATTGCTTTGGACGACAGTGTTGATGTTCACCCTCTCGGGAGTTCCTTGCAATTGTAGCTCTTGCGCCAGGTGTGAGGTAATCATCGAGCTCACAGCAGCAGTGTCCAGAAGACCATAGGTTGTAACTTCCTTGCCCGTTTCAGCAACTACTCTCAGTGGTACTACCTTCAACATAACAAAGTTCCTTCCTGTAACACTTGAGGTAGCATTCTGACTAATGCCACTTGCCCCTTCCCTTTCCTTTTCATTACTGAGGTCATCAGGCCTTATGTCAACATGAAGGAGAGTGTGATGGGTCAAGGGAAAATTACAGTTCTTTACTCTACAGCCATCTTTCGATGAACATTCACTTTGCTTGTGCAGTCCAGCTAGACATCTATAACACAGTTTGCCGTATCTTGCAAATCGTCTGCGCCATTTTACATTCTTGGACGCAAATACGGGGCAATCTGCGAGTTCATGTTTATCCTTCTTACATACCTTACAGGAATCAGGAGTCTTGCTTGTTCTAGCATGGTTTGCCTTGTTATTCTCTGTYTCTACCTGGGTTGTGAAGGTAGGAATTCTCGATTTCAGATGCGTTTCTGATTTGTTCCACGGGATCTTGGTGTTCCTAATGTGGTGCGATTTCTCCCGGTTAATCACTGTGCCTTCATTACTTCCGTACACGGGGTCATTTTCAATTTGTGACTCTGCTGATATGAATGCACAAAGTTCCTTCAGGGATGGTTCTCTACCCTCCGATCTTTGACGGTAAATGCTTGCCTCCTTACGCCACTTCCTTTGTAATGAATCAGGTAGTCGATCATAGATTAGCTTCAGATTTGTAGTACAGTTTAGTTCGTTCGAGTTCAATTCGAGCATAGACCAATAACAATTTTCTATCTTATCAGAAAAGGCTAGAAGGCTTGCGCTATCATTTGCTCTAAACCTTGGCCCTGCAACTACCGATGACTTTAATGCCTGTATGATCATAGCGTTTTGTCCAAATCTCTGTTGTAGGACATTAAGAGCTAGTTGGTATCCGTTAGGCAACCCTTCATAGGTTTCAATTGCTTCTCTAGCCCTCCCGGTTGTGTAGGCCATTAAGTAATTCATCTTCTCGCTATCAGATAACGTCGATTTACTCTCTACTTGATCTCTGAAATTCGATCTAAATCGCAGATAACGGGCGGGATCACCGTCAAAGGGGGTTGGTTTTGGTGGAGGCTGCGACATTCTTAGCTCCATTTTCTCCCAAAGAGCTGAGGGTGGCTCATTTACTGAGGACGTAGCAAAACGAGTTTGACCTTTAAAATCCTGGGTGCATACATGATTGTTCTTTAAATTAGTTCCTGGACTAGAACGAGTAGAGACAAACTTCTGATCCCACTCTCTATTACTCTGGTAAGTGKTAGACTGCAATGGCGCATTTGCTAACTTAAAATCATCTGCATCTGGATTTAACTTGCTCTCTCTCCCTTTACCCTCACCCAGTCCCTGCTGTTTACTTGACACGACTATTACAGTCTCTTTTTCATGGGGTTTAATCGGGGAAGTGTTTCGTGGTTGTGGCAATTCTGYGTATTTTGGCGCATCGTCTGGGTCGTCTGAACCTAAGTCTTGTTCCTCGTCCTCTTTATTCGCATCYTCATATACCTTGCTAACAGCTGCTGCAACCTCACATTCAGCAATCAGCTTCACTCTCTCGGCTTCCCTACTGGCTCTGCGCGCTGCTTCATTGGCGGCAGTTTCTGCGGCTTCAATTTTATCGAACACAGCCAATTTTGCTTGCAGCTCAACTTGCTTCGCCCTTGCTTCGAGAAACTTAACTCTAGAGGACGTGCTGGATGCTTTAGAGCGTTTAGAATGTTCGGACTTAGCTCTCGACCTTGAAGAACCCTTTTCTGATTTATCGTCTCTCGTACGACGATTGACTTCTAGAGTCCAGTTCTTGGTGGACGTTTGAATATTTAATATTTCATTACATAAACCCTTATACATTTCTGAGTCTGAAGCGGCTTCGTCTTCATCAAGAAGTTCTAATATTTCTTCATAAATGTCGCCAAAATTCTTAAAGAGACCATTTAAATTTATAACTTCTTTACTCACCAACTTCAAGTTCTCGTCTAGACTCATGAGGGCTTCAATGTTATTGATTTGCATTTCAATTTCTCTCTTAGACTTCTGTCGCTGACGTCTCAATTCAGTCAAACGATAAGTCTTACCTTTCTCTGTCAATTTCCTTTGTCTCCGTTCATTATCTGGCCTTTCTGAGGGATTTTCATGAACTGTCATTCCGATTTCCAAGTCTTCCTGTCCATTCCAAAATTTCCCTTCGGGCCTCGTGGTCGACGGCGGAATTTCGTTCAAAACTCCACCTTCTCGCTTCTCAACTTCGGTAGAACTCGCCGAAGGATCTCCAAAATGATCCTCAACATGTCCAACATCGGCTTGAACCACCAGAGTTTCTT